ACCTCATCTAATCCAACTTAACCTAACCTAATTTAACCTAACACTGACCTAACCGAACCTGACCTAATTTGATGAATCATGCGTAGCTGCCGTCTTTATGATCTGATCTGACCTGACCTGACCTAACTTAACCTAACCTAACACTATACGTAACCCTACACAACGACATATGAAACAATTTTAATCTTTGTAATGTATCTTGTTTCATATACCGTAAAAAAAAGTAGATAGTTTTTTCTGGATAAATGAATTGACCCCCCAAAAAAAATCTACCTCCATTCACCTCACCTAACCCAAAGTGTGGTTCAAATTTCACCACAACAAAACAATTTAACAATAGACAAACAAACAACAGAGGAAGCAAAATGTCGGAAAAATAGCCCAAATTAATGAAAAATATAAGTAATAATGTACTTCCTGTTTGTGTTTTTACTTAGAAAGATTCATTACCTGACAGACCAACACGGTAAATTAAATCCCTCCAGGTGTTGTCTTCGTAATGAACGGTAATGACTACAGGTAGGGTACGCGGAAGGTCAGTGTGTGTGTGTACCAAGGTGGGTACACGGACGACCATACAGATATACAGACGGACATGGCCAGAGTTATATACGTCGTTTATTGTATGGGTGGTATAATAAGTTTTGGTGGGTGTGTGTGTGTGTGTGTGTGTGTGTGTGTGTGTGTGTGTGTTTATGTATGTATGTGTGTATGTATGTGTGCGTTCGTCTCATCCATACCTGCCGTGTTTACCTTCACCGTGAACACAATAGGTGGCGTAGGGGAGGGGTCAGGGGCAGGTCGCAGCAGGAGGGAGGCGCCTAGGTGACGCCCCAACCAGCCACACAGACGCCCCCCTACTATCAGTCAACCATGCCGACACTTGAGTTATCACCAAGACTCTTATCCATCTACCTAAAGACTTCACTACTTAACTACGTCCTCATAAGCTACGACACAACGATGCTACACCAACAGGTAAGGTTTAACGTAAGGTGAGAAACGAAGTATCGTAAGAATGTTCGTAACTCGGGGAACAGGTGATGGAGAGCAGGTGAGGGAGGCAGGTGAGGCTGAAGGAGAGGCACCTATCACCTGCCCCAGCGGTCCTCCCACCACCTAATAAGGAGCTGATACTTGAGGTCCTCTGGTCAGTATTAGGGTGTCAGGAGCCACTAGTAAATACATTACTCCCTCTCTCTCTCTCTCTCTCCTGATACTTTCCCTTCAATTATTCTTGTTGGCGGTAACTAATAGAAATTTATTAACAGACAAAAAAATGAGTGCTATTATTTTCACTATTATTATGAGCGACTAACATCATCATCATATTATTATTGTTGTTGAATTAATATTATTACTATTGTCAGTTAATATTACCGAACCCTACCGGACCTGTGTGTGTGTGTGTGTGTGTGTGTGTGTGTTCCTAAAAACCTCTATAACAGGTTTGCGGATTTGCACCCGACTTGTTAAGGTTTAATTAACATGTCTAAAACTCCACGTGATCAACTTTTGGTATAAATAGTATTGAAACTGACCAAGTGTTGTCGTAGTACCAAGATTTTTCGGTGGATAAAGAAAACGATAGCATGAGACAGTCTTCAGCGGTGACTATATTAATTTAGTCAACATTTAACCTGCCATGGTAGCGATTTGCGTGCATAGTTTGCATCCACTCTAATGATGTTTTATTTTAACATCGTAAAATAAAACAAAAACAAGAAAAACAAACTTAACAGTCCTCTAGCGATCTTCACAATAACATAATTACTGAAGTTATCTTCCTTTACGAGAAACCAATTCAGTGTTACAAGGGTTGAGAATGTTAGCCCAGACCGGCAAAACACAGTCTGGCCTTAACTCAAGTGTAAAAACTCTCTGTATGGAAAGCCTGGTGTTAGCCCACTCGTTTGAAGGTAAGTTGTGTGTGGGGTCAAGTCGCCAGGAAGGGAGAGAAAGGGCGAGGGATGGAAGAAGGGAGTGAGGGAGGGAGGGAGGGAGGGAAGGGGTGGGGGATGGAGGAATGGAGTGAGTGAGTGAGTGAGTGAGGAAGGAAGGAGTGTGTGAGAATGAGGGAGGTGAGAGACCCTGATAATGAGTGCCACCATCCTACAGCGGGATTACGGCACACGTTACCTGCCGCCACCCCCCCCCCCTTAAGACACCAAACAACCTTCTCCAGACACCTTCCTTGCGCCTCGTAGCCCCAAACCGTCAACAATGAAACGCCTAAATTTCACTTCTACCTCACACAGCCGACCAAGACCGACAGACAGACAGTCTCCGTTTCCTCTTCGCTTGGGGAACCTTTCGATACCAGTTTTGTTTTGTTTTTATGGGGAGGGGGAGGGGGGGTGTACCAGGTGAAAAGACCTCGTCATTCAAGGTTAATAACACGGCTGACGCAACGTTAAGAGCAGCGGGCTACACCAATAGATGACAAGGGCCACCAGACGCTGCACTTTCTAAATTGAGACAGAGTGTGTGTGTGTATGTGTGTGTTATTGCCGGAAGGCCTTGTAGAGTTGCAGGGGAGGGGGATGTGGGGGTTTGACAGAGCTGCCCTCTGTGTTTGGGGTCACCACTACTACCACAATCACCACCATTATCGTCAGCATCATCACCACCATCACCAGCGCGACCCTGCACTACGGAAACCACCATCACCACCAAGGCTACCACCATCATCACCAAGGCTACCACCATCACCAACAAGGCTACCACCATCACCACCACCAAGGCTACCACCATCACCAACAAGGCTACCACCATCACCAACAAGGCTACCACCATCACCAACAAGGCTACTCACACCATCACCACCACCAAGGCTACCACCATCACCAACAAGGCTACCACCACTCACCACCACCAAGGCTACCACCATCACCACCACCATCACCACCACCAAGGCCAACACATCACCTCACCTCACTCAAGGCTACCATCATCGCCACCACCAAGGCTACACATCACCACCAAGGCTACCACCATCACCAACAAGGCTACCACCATCATCAAGGCTACCACCATCACCACAAGGCTACCAATTATCACCACAAGGCTACCACCATCATCACCAAAGCTACCACCATCACCACCAAAGCTACCACCATCACCACCAGTTACCACCATCACCACCAAAGCTACCACACTCATCACCACCAAAGCTACCATCACCACCAAAGCTACCACCATCACCACCAAAGCTACCACCATCAGGATGTACGTCGCTATGATCATCCTACCACCTCCACCAGTATCACAGCAACTACCACCATCACCGTGTCCAGCACCAATCAACACCTGAGACTGCATTACCACCATTAGCATTAACATCAACACTTATTACCACCACTACTACTACAACTATTATTACAACTACTACTAATACTACTACCACCACCACCACCACCACTACTACCACTACTACTACCACCACCACCACTACTACCATCACGACTACCACCACCACCACCACTCATCACCCACCACCACCACTATCACCACCACCCACCACCACCACCACCACCACCATCACCACCACTACTACTACTACCACCACCACCACCACCACCACCACCACCACCACCACCACCACTACTACCATCACGACTACCACCACCACCACCACCATCACCACCACCACCATCACCACCACCACCACCACCACCACCACACCACCACCAATTACTACTAATACCACTACCACCACCACCACCACCACCACCACCTCACCACCACACCACCACCACCACCACTACTACCATCACCACCACCACCACCTTCCACCACCACCTCACCACCACCACCAATTCACTACTACCCACATCACGACTACCACCACCACCACCACCTCACCATCACGACTGCCACCACCACCACCACCACCACCACCACCACCACCACCACCACCACCACTAATACTAATTATTACCACCACCACCACCACCACCACCACTACCATCACGACTACCACCACCACCACCACCACCACTATCACTACTACCACCACCACCACTACTACCACCACTTTCTCTCGTCACAGACACGTACACCACCATTCATTCTGGACGCCTGACATTCACCTCCCACCTGAGCCCTAAGCAGCTGACATTATACTAACACATTATTAAGTATTTTAGAACATATTGTGGACCATGTGTGTGTGTGTGTGACCTACATCGTGTGAGTCACCGCTTAGTATTCCAACCATGAGACAGACAGATAGACAGACAGACAGACAGACAGACACAGAAACAACTTGTAACCTTTCATAGTCATTAACAATCCAAAATAACGTTGAGCGTGTGTTATTAAGGCGATATACACTAATGACCGTCACAGGTAAGGTGAAAGGTCACAATTAAGGCCAGGTAGAGTTATTCCCGGTCACCCTTTAGTATGACAGGTGGAGGTTGTGAATTATTCTGTGTTGAGAGATATGACCCACCTACACAACACATGCCTTCACCCTAGAGTCCATTATATAGAGAAAATCCGTTATATAGAGAAAATCCGTTATATGGAGAAAATCCGTTATATAGAGAAAATCCGTTATATGGAGAAAATCCGTTACATGAAGAGAAAAATCCGATATATGGAGATACAAATCCGGTATATGGAGGAGAAAAATCCACTATATGGAGGGTTTCACTGTCTGGCTTAAAATATTATCAAAATAGCACTGTCTCTTTCTCTCAAGACAGTATTACCATTTTAATTCATGACCCTTACCTCTATAGCCACCTACCTGTGCCTAGATACTGTCCAGGTATATTGTTTCCACCTGCAGTGGTGTAATGGAAATATTGCCAATACCATCATCCGGAAATAAACGACGGAAATAATAAAGAATTGGGATAAATGATGGGATGAGAAGGTGGATAAAGATAGAAAGGTAGATATGGTAATTAGAAAATGCCAAGGTGTTCAATAGGCTAGTGAACAAGACACAGGTGTTCATCGGGTGAGTGAACAAAAAAAAAGCGACTTACCAGGGTCAGGACGCTGCCAGTGGCACCTGTCATCTGATGCAGGACATCACTCATCTGCAACACAAACAATGACTGATGAGTATACACGTGTTGTATGATGAGTATACACGTGTTGCATGATGTATGACTGCAGGTTTATATACAGAACAGTCTATCCATACACGTGTGAATACTTACTGACTGCTGACTGACTATGACGCTCACCTGTGTTTAAGCTGAGTAAACACCATTAACCTGTACTAAAAATAACATGAAATATACCTGTAATTACCAAGAAAATATTAATCTCAGGTAAGGCTTATCTTTCGAGCTTATAGTTTGTGTTGACAGACGAGCTAAAAGCTTATATTTTGTCCAAGCTTGTTACTAGTTCTTGGACTAGTGCCTGAGGGGGGAGGAAGTTTGGAGGTAGGGGTCAGAGAAATGTTGGAGTCAGGGGGTGTGTGAAGGATACAAGTATAGGTTGAACAATTGAACATGGTGTGTGTGTAAACAAAGGCAGCATCACCCAGCCAAAGGACCTACGCCGTACTGCACAGAGAGAGAGAGAGAGAGAGAGAGGACCTACGCTGTACTGCCTGAGAGAGAGAGAGAGAGAGAGAGAACATCGTCAGAACAGCAACATGAGGAGAAGAGAAGGAATAGGAGAGGAAGAGAAGAAGAGGAGGATGAGGAAGATGGGGAAAAGAGGAAGAGGAGAATATCAACAGTAAATAAACGGATGAAAGAGGAAAAGGAGGAGGAGAAGAGAAAGAGAAGGAGATTAACAGAGAGAAGAGGAACAGAAACAACTAAAAAGGAAGAAAAAGATGCAGTAAAGAGGTAACGAAAGAGGAAAAATAACAAGAGCGTAGGAAAAAACAGCGAGGGAAACAGGAGGAGGAGGAAGAAGAGGAAATGGTGGCAAGATGGATCAATACGAGGCGGCGAGGAACGGAGGAGGAGGAGGAGGAAGAAGAGAGGTAGGAGGAGTAAGAAGAGAGGTAGGAGGACAAGGGTAAATCAAAGAGGAAAACAGAGATGAGGAGGGGGAGAAGGACCCACTATTGTACCTCGGGGTGGTGGTGGTGGTGAGTGAGAATGCTCCTCCTTCACCTTCCTCTTTGTGATGTAGGGAACACTATACGGACCCTCGCTTCCTCTCTCCCCCCCACCTCCCCCATTGAGTCCATTGACGCAACTCAAATCAGTCTCACTACACACACACACACACACACACACACACACACACACACACACACACACTTGCCGCCTCTATCTCATCATAAGCTTCCTGATAAACTTGTGTCAATTAAGAGTTATAACCAAGGCTAAGCAAAGAGGATGTCCGCGTGTGTGTGTGTGTGTGTGTGTGTGTGTGAGACATCCCACTTAACCAATCCGCATTTAACTTGTTCTAACCAATCATAACTCAAGCAAACTGCATTTAACCTAACCTAACCTTGGCATATTCACTGCATTTTAAAGGACATTTTCTCGAGGTAAATTGTGGCGTGGGATTATGTCCATGAACCACAGGGCTAACGTACGTGTGTGTGTGTGTGTGTGTGTGTGTGGCCTTGACTCATATACGCAGGGCATCATGGCTTACCGTCGTGTTCTTTTAAGTCAACAACGCATTATATACCCAGCCCGGCCCTTCAGGTGACGACCACAACACCCACCATGGTATTATGACGCCGTGTCTGGGGGTGGAGGGGTGTTGGGACCATGAATACGACCTTGGTTACCAGGTGTGTGCGCCAGGTGTGTGCGCCAGGTGTGTGTGTGTGTGTGTGTTTGGTTGATACACCCACCCGCCCACCCACTTAGTTATCCACCCACCTATATTACCCACCCCCACCCTTGTCTACGAGGTGTGAGTCCGGTTGGTAGATACACCCTCCAACGCCACCACCCACAAACCAACCAACCCACCCGCCTCCACCACAATTACCACCCTCCCTCAACCCCACCTACCATGTCACCACCCACAAGGTACGGTACAAGGCCAAGGTACGGTACAAGGCCAAGGTACGGTACAAGGCCAAGGTACGGTACAAGGCCAAGGTACGGTACAAGGCCAAGGTACGGTACAAGGCCAAGGTACGGTACAAGGCCAAGTACAGTACAAGGCCAAGAGTACAGTTCAAGAGCCAAGAGTACAGTACAAGGCCAAGTACGAGCCACAAGGCAATGTAAGAAAAATAGTAACACATTTTTCTAACACTTGAAGGCCAGGCTGAGTTGTCATCAATCTGTGTTCAAGTCCAAGCATGAAGACGTCAAGGGTAACATGACCGGTGTGTGTGTGTGTGTGTGTGTGTGTGTGTGTGTGTGTGTGTGTGTGTGTTTCACATATTTGGTTTAGTCATTTTGTTGAAACCTGTCAAGTCAGATGAATGTTGACCAAGGTTAACATCACAGGTAGAGGTCAAAGGTTAATCACAGGTAGAGGTCAAAGGTTAACATCACAGGTAGAGGTCAAAGGTTAACATCACAGGTAGAGGTCAAATGTTAATATCACAAATATTAGTCAACGGTTAATCACAGGTAGAGGTCAAACAGGACGAGAGACAGACGGTACAGATTTTGACAGAACAAGGTAGACGGGATGAATGTTGGCAACCACACTCAACCGCGTCAATAAAACACGAATCCCGCGAAATGTTGATATAAATCGCTAAGGAATGTAAGACTGACTGCCATCAAAGTCACGGCGCTGGGTAATATACTGAGCTGCTTGGGACAGAGGTGAGTGGTGGTGGTAGTGATGATGAACGGTGTCTCAGTGTCTGTCTCCCATATATGGATGTAAATATGTAGTGACGTTATTATCTTACACGAGGACACTCCAGCGCCAGGGGGAAACTAAGTAGCGTGTTACCTGGAGTGTTTACCTGGCTTTTACTTGGCTTCAAATACCCCCTCCCTCACCCTCCACTCCACCGCCCTCCCCCAGCTTAGTGTGTGATCAAGGCCTCCGTCAGGCAGGTCTTGAAAGATGTTGTCAGGTTCTCGTTCTAAGAAGTTTAGTGAGGGGTGGTGGTGAGGGTGGTGGTGGTGAGGGTGGTGGTGGTGAGGGTGGTGGTGGTGAGGGTGGTGGTGGTGAGTGGTGGTGGGTGGTGAGGGTGGTGGTGGTGAGGGTGGTGGTGGTGGTGGTGAGGGTGGTGGTGAGGGTGGTGGTGGTGGGGAGGGTGGTGGTGGTGGTGGTGGTGAGGGTGGTGGTGGTGGGGGTGGTGGTGGTGAGGGGTGGTGGTGGTGAGGTGAGGGGTGGTGGTGAGGTGGTGGTGAGGGTGGTGGTGGTGAGGGTGGTGGTGAGTGGTGGTGGGTGGGGGTGGTGGGGGTGGTGGTGGTGAGGGTGGTGTGGTGGTGAGGGTGGGTGGTGAGGGGTGGTGGGGTGGTGGTGGATGAGGGTGGTGGTGGGGGGTTGGTGGGAGGGTGGTGGTGAGGGGTGGTGGTGGTGAGGGTGGTGGTGGTGAGGGGTGGTGGTGGTGAGGGTGTTGGTGGTGGGGTGGTGGTGATAGAGTTGGTGGTGGTGAGGGTGGTGGGGAGGGTGGTGAGGGTGGTGGTGGTGAGGTGTTGGTGAGGGTGGTGGTGGGGAGGGTGGTGGTGAGGGTGGTGGTGGTGGTGGTGAGGGTGGTGGTGTGGTGAGGGTGGTGGTGGTGAGGTGGTGGTGGTGAGGGTGGTGGTGGTGAGGGTGGGTGGTGGGGGAGGGTGGTGGTGAGGGTGGTGGGTGAGGGTGGTGGTGGTGAGGTGGTGGTGGGTGAGGGTGGTGGGAGGTGGTGGGGTGGTGGTGAGGGTGGTGGTGGTGAGGGTGGTGGTGGTGAGGTGGGGAGGGTGGTGGGGAGGGTGGTGGTGGTGGTGAGGGTGGTGTGGTGTGGTGGTGAGGGTGGTGGTGGTGGTGAGGTGGTGGTAGCGAGGGTGGTGGTGGTAATGAGGGTGGTGGTGGTATGAGGGTGGGTGGTGGTGGGGGTGGTGGTGAGGGTGGTGGTGGTGGTGGTAATGAGGGGTGGTGGTGAGGGGTGGTGGTGGTGGTGGTAATGAGGGGGTGGGTGAGGGTGGTGGTGGTGGTAATGAGGGTGGTGATGGTGGTGGTGGGAGGGTGGTGGGGAGGGTGTGGTGGTGGTGGGGGAGGGTGTGGGAGGGTGGTGGTGGTGAGGGTGGTGGTGGTGGGAGGGTGGTGGTGGTGGTGAGGTGGTGGTGGTGGTGGTGGTGTGGTGGTGAGGGTGGTGGTGGTGGTGGGGAGGGTGGTGGTGGTGGGGAGGGTGGTGGTGGTGTTGGAGGTGAAGGATGGTGGAGGGGAGGGTGGAGGAAGAGTGATGGCATAATAGAGGCTTTATGATTGATTACAGGAGGAGGAGAATGACAAGTGATAACGGAGGAAGATGGAGGAGGTAGTAAAGGGGAATGAAGAGGAGAGGGAGGAGAGAGTGAGATAAAGAAGGAAGATGCTAGAAGAAGAAGAAGAAGAAGAAGGAGGAGGAGGAGGAGGAGGAGGAGGAGGAGGAGGAGGAGGAGGAGGAGGAGAGGAGGAAGGGAGGAGGAGAGAGAGAGAGAGAGATGCATCTCATCTCCCTTGCATCACATAAGGCAACAAGACCCAGGCTGCAGGAGGAGGTATAGACTATAGCCGCAGGAACAGCAGGAGTCACTTGAGTATATTGATCACTCGACACCTCCTCCTGCACCCTCATCCCCTCCTTCACCCTCAACACCTAACGACACGATCCCCTTGTTGTGTGTCAAGCTGTGTACGGCATAAAGTTAATTTACTAAGGGTGTGTCCCTACAGGATCTATACCTCTACTGACGAAGGTAAGGACGTGAGATGCCATACTGACGGTGTCCCTACAGGATCTAAACCTCTCTACTGACGAAGGTGAGGGCGTGACATACCCTATACAGATGGATAACCCTGGTGGTAGTGTGGGAGTAACATGAGACAGCTTCGTCAGGATTACACACCCACCTGGCGTCGTCGCGGGGTGTGTCGTAGTTAGAGCAGCTTACCTGTCCAGCCACTCCGTCAGGTAATATCAGTATTTTTAGCCCTTCGTCGGTGTTATTTCACTAGTGTCGTCTATCAGGGTGTTCCTCCTCCTGACGGCGCCC